CGGGCTGCGGGCGGTTCCGGCTGGGGTTGGGCCGAACCCCCCTTTTTTTTTTGGCGCTGCCAGCCGTGGGCACGCTCCGTGTTCTGCCCGGAGTGGGGATTTATCCCCAACCGCAGGGCAGGTGTCGGGCACATTTTGGTGGAGGAAATGAAATCACGGCTCTGAGCGGAGCCGTCTGGTCTTTCCCTTCCGTCCTTGCTCGGTAAACTCCAGCCCACGGGCTCCCGTGGAAAAAAAATCGCGAGAAATTGATAGAAACGGCTCGTTTCCCGGCCCCGCTCAGAGGGTCAGAGGTCGGGAAAGATATTCGGGAAAGCGTCGCTGAAATCCCGGAAAGCCCGATTTCGGAGCTCTGCTATCGGCCGCTGGCGACGAAAGTCGGGCAGTACGTTCTCTCATGTGGAAAATACACATATTAGAGCCCCCCGCCCGATCCAGTTGATATTATAGTCGATATTCCCAGAATTTTCCTTTTGCTTTTGCACAGTATTCCTCGGTCGCGTTTTTTTATGCGCCCGGGACAGAACAGTTGGGAAATATTCATCGAGAGGGAAGGGTGTCTTGTGATAATAGGAAACACAGGTCCTTTTTTAAAACATCTTTTCTCGCCCCAAATTTCGAGGGGAAAAATAAAAATGCGGGAAAGCAGCGTAGCAGCGCCGATGAGAAATAATAAAGGAAAATCAATCGGAAACGAACGTTTCCCCGAAAACCAAGCGGCGAAAAGTGGCTTTCCGGCGCGGGGCCGGGCCGAGGGAGAGGGTCTCACCGCCAAAACCGCAGGTGCCTCGGCGGGGGCTTTATAACCCACAGGTTTGTACCATTTTCCCGGCTCCCGGCGAGCGCTCGGGGCAGGGATCGACCCTCGCTCCTTCCCGCTCCCAAATCCCGGCCGTCTCCGCCTCTTTCCCGCGGGCGGGAGCGCGCTCCGCTCCCCGCGCCCCCCCGGCTGGAAACTGACCAGAATTGGTCAATTTCACGTTCCGCGGGAGCGGGGGGCGGCTCCGCGCTGCTCCCGCCGCGTTTCGGTTGTTTTCCCTCGGCCGTTTTCCCCGGGAAGGTTTAAATAAACCAAACTCCCCCCCCCGCCCTTTGTTTGCATCGGGGTACCGGTGTTATTTCCCGGACTGCCCCGACGGGAAAGCTGCGGGGTTTTGCCGGGCTGCTGCCGGTTTTTAAGGAGGGAGAGGCACGGAGGGAGGCTCTATTTTAATGTCATTATAGTTGCCGTGGCAACCCATTGGATTACTCCTCCTGGAATGAACCTTGTGACAATGGTTGGTTTGAGAGAAATCGGTAAATGTGCAACCGAAGGACACAGCTACATTACCGCGAACAACAGCGAGGGTTTAACATGTGACCCTTCCAATTATACTGATGATACCTCGGTGCAGCTGCCTCCGCCGCGCTGCGAAGATGTGGCTGTTTGGGGGTTTGGGGAGGGGTCCCGGGGTTGTTTGGGGGCACAGCCTGGTGAGGATAGGGCCGCAGCCCGCACGCCTCTGCCCTCCCGGGGAGCCCTAAGAGCGGAACAGCATCTCTGCACCGGGATCGCGAATGTGGTCCCAACCCCTCCAAAAAAGAAGAAAGGAAGAAAAAGCTTCTCCGGGGGAACGTGGAGGGAGCCGAACGTGCGGAGGGTCTGTGGCAGCGGGGCTGGGGAATAAGGACCTGTCTGGGGGGTGGGCAGGCCCC